GGGATTTGGGATTTGGGATTTCGGCAAAAAATACTAATCATAATTTGGGATTTGGGATTTGAGATTTCGGCATTTGGAATTTCGGCATTTGAATTTTGAATTTGGGTAGCAGGTATAATATAGCTAAAGCCGTTAAAAAAGCTAAGAAAAAATCGTCCCAGTATAGGTGCTCAAAGTGTGGTAGAACAGGCCATAATTTCTGCAATTGCAAAAATAAAAAGAGCAGGTCTAAGAAGAAAGGTACAGTCAATATCGCCACTATAAATTCAAGTTCTGATTCAGATACAAACTCTTTCGATAATGAATTTAATTCTGAGACAGGGTCTGATGCTGAGAATACCTCCTCCGAATCTGATTCTGAGAATAACTTTACCAAGGATGATGTCGTAAAAATTATCAATGCTGTCAATGCCGCTAAATCAAAAAAAAAGTAAAACCTAAGGAATCCAAGACTAAGAAAAAATCTAAACCCCGCAAAAAGATACAGAAGGATCCTTTCACTTCTGGTAATTTCCAAAATAAATTGACTGTTATTGGCTGTGCCAGCTCTGCTGATAAGTCTTTTCAGAGAGCTATATTAGATGTGCTTGATGGTATCACACCTATAGATTGAATAGAGAAGCTCAAAACCAAGATTGAAAACTCATCCAGATCCTTTAGGGGTGACTCTTTGGGTCACACACCCCCATCTACCCAAAAATCTGATTTTGTGAATTATCGAGATCTGATCCCAGTATTACCTGATTCAGATGGGGAAGAGGAGATATTTAATGACCCTATGGAGATTGATTTTGTTAAAAAGAAAGAATCGATAAGTCTTACAACTATTGAATATAAGATTAAACGACTGAAAATCCCTACAATGGTACTTGATAGTGAGGCTGAACTTCCTATTGTGTCAGAAGATATTGTTAAACATATAAGTTGGGGAATTGATAAATCGATAAAGTACGATCTCAGTGACGTCACTACCGTCCCAACAGAATCTATTGGCATTGCTCGTAATTTTCCAATAACATTCTCTTCAGGTTTTACTATACGTGAAGATTTTGTAGTTGTACAGCCTCCTAAGTCAACATTAATATTTTTGAAACCGCTTCTTAAAAAATATAGTTGCGCTATAGATTGGGGTAACGATAAAATAGAAATTCATTATAATGGTAAAAAGTTTGTTATCCCTGTTACTATGCACAAGGTCAAGAACAAGCTTGAAGTAAATTGCACTACTGCAACTCAGGATGATAAACCTCTACTATCCGATCAAATTTCACAGGAGGTAAATGGAGATAAGAACAATAATGTATCATTTGAGGAATGGAATGTCCCTGAAGGTTTTAGCTTATTGCAAAGTAATGGGGCTCTGCTCCTAGATCCTGATAATCTGATGTTAAAAAAAAATACGTGAATTGTGGGAGGTATGAGAAAGAAATGTATGAAGTAACTAAAGTTATTACTGGTCTTAACACCCTTGTTCGTCAAATTAGATCATCTAGTAAAGGGGATAAAGATTAGATAAGATAGGTAAAGTTCACCATTTATGACTCATCAATTTTCCACTCTGAATATGATAAATTTTCCTCACCTTCTTTTACCACACGTCTAAAATGGGCTTGTGTATCTGTAGAATATAAAAGCCCTCTACCCATTTTTTCTATAGAGTCTTTAGTGATGACGGGTGAATTAGATATTCGATCAGATTTGGATCTCTTAGTTTTTATCTGCTTATTTGACTGTGTTAGGTCCACTGGTATATTAAGCAATGGGACTTCGCCCCTATTTAAAGGTTGAGATTCTATATGGAGAATATTTACACCAGAATTTGAAACATTAGAATTTTGATTAGAATCGTCATATG